CCACATCCAGCATCTTGGAGACATAGCCACAGAGCATTCCTTGTGATTCAAGTGCTCTGATCCACCCTGCCCTTCTTTACAGAGGCAGAAAAATGCGAGGGCTAGAGAATGTCACAACCTCTTGGCTCCTTGCTAAAATCTTCTCTATTCTAATAGCTAAAACCAGGGCCATGCTACAGAGAGATGTGAGGCAGATGGCCACTTGCCCCTATTTCTAACAGGGATCAAATCTCGCTTGAAGAGCTGGGGGGCTCCCAGCAGGGACAGAAAGGCCAAAGAGATCTAGAAGTCCACTCGAAGACAGAAATTCCACAGGACATGCTCCATCTCCACGCTACTTTTTAGACTTCCCTGAAGGGTGAAAGGTACAGAACACAGTTTGTAGTGAGGCATCAAACAGCAGCATGTGCTCAGCACAAAACAGCACTGCAGGCTCATCAGCCCAAAAACAGCGGCCATTCAAATGTTCAGATTATTTGGCAAACCCTCCCCACCCACTACCCAAGCAGATTCTTTCCCCAAATTCAGAACAGGAGAAAAGGACCCACCAGGATTCTTTTGAATTTCATTCATTCCTTCTGCTAAATTCATTCACAGCTTATCATCCAGTTCCTCCACTTCAAAAAGCCATCACCTAATCACTGCTAGACTGGCGCTCCCAGCAATCTCCAGATAGAACCTATAAGCCTTGCCTAAGGCTGTTTCTGTTACGGAAGCCTTAAATCTCTAAAGTCACATGCCAGCTGCATCAGAACAAGGCCAGAACTCCCCCTTAAGATCAGTAAGGTGCAGCACCATTTTTCCCCAGAGGCAAAGATTAATATGGAGCCAAGCTTTCTTTCCTCCCAAACCACATCAACACCTTTTACCGACCCCTGCTAAAAAAGGGGAGGCAAAATTACAGCAGAAAGATCATTTAACACACCTGCATCTTCCCTCCCAATACTATCAGCCATATGCTTGTCTTTGTCAGAATAGGAAGAGCCACGAAAAAGGTCTCTTTCAACCAAAAAAAGTAACAGTCAGTCTCACCTCTGTGCCTGGCAAAATCTTGGAGCAGATTCTCCTAGAAGGCATGCTAAGGCACATGAAAACACAACAAGGTGCTTGGTAACAGCCAGCATGGCTTGACCAAGGGGAAATCCTGCCTGACCAATTTGGTGGCCTTTTATGATGGGGCTACAGAACTGATGGGCGGGGTAGAGCAGCTGATGTCATCTACCTGGAATTGTGCAAAGCGTTCGACACTGTCCCACACAACATCCTTGTCTCTAAATTGGAGGGACATCAATTTGATGGATGGACCACACGGTGGATAAAGAACTGGCTGGATGGCCGCACACAAAGAGTTGTGGTCAATGGCTCAATGTCCGGCTGGAGACCAGTAACAAGTGGCGTCCCTCAGGGATCCGTGTTGGGACCGGTCTTGTTCAACATCTCTGTCGCTGACATGGACGGTGGGATTGAGTGTGCACTCAGCAAGTTTGCCGATGACACCAAGCTGTGTGGTTTGGTTGATACCCTGGAGGGAAGGAATGCCATCCAGAGGGACCTTGACACGCTTGTGAGGTGGGCTGATGCCAACCTTATGAAGTATAACTGTGTCAAGTGCAAGGTCCTACAGCTGGGTCAGAGCAATCCCAGGCACAGCTACAGGTTGGGCAGAGAAGAGATTCAGAGCAGCCCTGCGGAGAAGGACTTCGGGGTGTTGGTCAATGAGAAACTGAACATGAGCAGGCTTCAGTGTGCACTCACAGCCCAGAAAGCCAACTGTATCCTGGGCTGCATCAAGAGGAGTGTGACCAGCAGGTCAAAGGAGGTGATCCTGCCCCTCTACTCTGCTCTCGTGAGACCTCACTTGGAGTAGTGTGTGCAGTTCTGGTGTCCTCAACATAAAAAGGACATGGAACTGTTGGAACAAGTCCAGAGGAGGGCCACGAGGATGATCAGGTGACTGGAGCACCTCCCGTACGGAGACAGGCTGAGAAAGTTGGGGCTGTTCAACCTGGAGAAGAGAAGGCTGCGTGGAGACCTCATAGCAGCCTTCCAGTATCTGGGGGGGGGGGGGGGGGGGGGGCGGGCTATAAAGATGCTGGGGAGGGACTCTTCGTTAGGGACTGTAGTGATAGGACAAGGGGTAACAGGTTAAAACTTAAACAGGGGAAGTTTAGATTGGATATAAGGAAGAAGTTTGTTACTGTAAGGGTGGTGAGGCACTGGAATGGGTTGCCCAGGGAAGTTGTGAATGCTTCATCTGTGGCAGTGCTCAAGGCCAAGTTGGACAAAGCCCTGGGTGACATGGTTTAGTGTGAGGTGTCCCTGCAGCAGGGGGCAGCAGGGTTGGAACTAGATGATCTTAAGGTCCTTTCCAACCCTAACTATTCTATGATTCTAACAATATTGGTAGCAAAGCAACACAAAGTCACAAACATACACAAATGTTCCTTCACTGCCCCTGAGCAAATTATACACTTCTCTGGATGTTACCCATGTCTCATTCCCATCAAGTGATAACAGGGAGACACTGCAGTAAGAGAGGCCTAAAACCAATATGCCTGAAGAAGCGTGGCCCAGGACAAGAATACAATACTCTGTTGTGGTTTGTGTAGGGTTTTTTAGAAGATATTTAACATCCAGCCTGACTGATTCAATGATTTACTGTTCAGGGCTAACTTTCAACCTGAAGGTTACCATCACTCAGCAAGCAGCAGCAGTGTCTTGAGCAGACACCACCCCAGCAGAACCTAGATGAACCAGCAGGCAGGACTCTCCTCAGGGCAACGCTGCCTAGCTGAGAGGGCAGGAGCAGACGGCAGGCGGGTGTATCAAACAAAAGAACAGTGAGAATGTCCCACTCCTCTGTGCCGCTGGTTGCAGTTCTTGATGGAGCAGAACATCAGAGCTTGGCATTCAATAAAGATAATCATGACAACTCATGACAGAGTTTTCTGCCTTGAGGAGATGAAACTGAGTGATGTGGCAAGGAAAGGAAGACCATACAGTTTGAGTGGAATGAGCACAGGGAATAATTTGCCATACTGCCACACTGCAATTACAAACCCACTGTATTATAACCTTTGCTAACACTCCCTAAAGGACAGTCTTTAACTGCAGTTCAGGAAGAAAGAATGCCTCTATTTCTTTCCCCTGCCAAACACCATCAGTAAACAAAATAACGACTTTTCGTTCACTCTGATTACAGACCTCAAGACCATTGACTAAAGGAATTAATAAGTTCTTCCTATGAAGTATGCCCTGCCTTTGCTCATTGACATTTCTGACTTCTTTGATGCTCTAAAAGGAAAGCCTGGGCTTACAAAGTAAAGACTGTACTGAACTGAGGTCCCGTTGACATGTCAGTTCAACCCCAGAACAGCGTTCAGCACCAAAAGTGCAACAGAAATTTGCTTTTCGTAATTGTTATACTAACCCACTCTTTTTAGGACAATGGGGATACCACACAGGCATAGATCACAGGCTGAAAACCTCATTGTTTGGATTTCTTCTGCACACTGTTGAGTAACTCCACCTGAAGAACTGAAAAAACAGTCTGACTGCAAAATGCTCAGTTACTTATTTACTCCTAAATCAGCAGAGTGCTCAGGCCAAGTTAAATGCCTTCCACTCTAAAGATTCATTTAAAACATAAAACCCAGCCCACTAGCCTGGCTGATAAGAGCAAAGAGGAAAGCTTAGATTCACTCAGAGAAAGATAAGCACGTTTTTCCAAAAGACACAATCAAGAGACTCCTTAAATTCCCAGCAGTGTTCCAAAAACTTCAGTTCCTCAAATACCATTTCTGAGCATCCACCTCCTTTTTGCCTCAGCAGTATCTAAACATAGAAACCCAGGAATGTGGGGAAATGAGACCTTAAACCCACTGCACATAAAGTTATCTGTGAGGAAGAACCTGCATTAGAAAATACCCTAATTGCAAACCATTCAAATTTGAATAGCAGCCATCCACAGGCTGAATCGAAGATGGTCCAGGGTGGTGCAAGTCATGTGTCGGTGAACACATTATGTGCTAATGCAAGAAGCACAGATCCAGCCTAGCAGCTAATGCCAGGTTCTGCTTCCCTCTTCTTCATGGCAGCATTGCACAGCCATACTCACTTCACTGATGCCATATTGCATCAGTATTGGCCTGTCTGCTTCATTCAGGAGGGATGAGTGGGTGTTCCGGTGCAAGTATCAAGAAGCTATTTCCCTGATCCTTTCAAAGGTGTGGAAAGACGTAGCTCCTCTGAGCGCCAGCTAGCTATAAGAGGAGACCATCGCAGCTTGAGCAAGCGTGGATCGCTGGCCTTCCTCACCGACCTTGATAAAAGAGTGCTCAGGGAGTTTACCTCGCCCTAGCCTGATGGAAGGTTTTGCTTCTTTGCAAAGCAACTGCTTGTGAAAGCCCTGTACCTACTTTTAAGGGGTAGGAAAGTCCTCCAGGGCTCAGTGTCAAGTAGAGCTAATCTTCTTAGTCTCATGTAGTTGTTAGCAGGAGGAGGACATTGCAGCTTCAAGTCCAGATGCAGCCACAAATCTGAGGTCTGCAGGACACTCTGCCTAAAGTGCGTTTCTCAGCAATGTGCATTCACCTCCAGCCCACCCAATGGTCCAACTGAATTGTACCCCTGAACTGGAGATTCGCAGGCATGGGAGTAGGAGGGCAATGGAAAAGACCCTGAGCTCAAACACCTCTCAAGGCCAAAATCATACACAGGCCCCATGCTGCCCCCAACTTTTGTGGATGTAGATCCCACTTAGATCTCCCATGTAGATCTGCCACCACCATCAGCCCAAAGCCTAAGCCCACAGCGTAACCCCAGCTGTATCCCTCCACATACCAGTTGCATTTCCCAGAGGGAATTTCACGCCTCTTATCACTACTGCTGCCCTCCAGGCCCTACACATATCTTCCCCCTCCTTGGTTCACCCCGTTAGCACCCCAGTCTCTGGCCAAGCAGATAACAGCCCATGCCTGTGCCGGCCAGCCACCTATTACCTGGTTCCCAAAGACAGCGATGGAGCAGGCAGTGGAGACCTCACGGGAGCCAAACCAGACGGAGGCGATGCGTGAGGGCATGCCCAGGATGAAGACCTGGGACAGGGAGCAGATGACCTGCCCCAGGACGGTGATGGGGAAGAGGTGCGGCTTCAGGCTGCCCAGCTTCACCCAGGCACCCAGGGCATTGAGGGCCGAGCCTGCCAGGGCGATGAGGCGCAGGCCCCTCTTGTCCAGCAGCCAGGCGACAGGGAAGAGCAGGGGGATGTAGGTGAGCATGTAGCTCATGGACAGCCAGTCGATGGCGAAGGCACTCACTCCATAGAAGCGCGCAAAGATGTTGTTGATGCTGCCGTACTGGATCCACTGGAAAGCGTTGCATAGGGAGTAGCTGCTGAACAGCAGCAACACGATCCAGCGACGCCGGGACAGCCTCACCCCGGCGGTGGCAGCAGCGGCCTCCCCCCCCGCCGCCAGCGCCGACGCCCCAGCAGGCTCCTGCTTCACCATACCGGCAGCACAAGCCGCCAGTCAACTCAACTCAACTCAACTCGACCCGACCCGGCTCGGCTCGGCTCGGCTCGGCTCGGCTCGGCTCGGCCCGGCCCGGCTCGGCACCCGCCGGCACCCACCTGGCCGGGAAGCCCCGCCCTCCAGCCCCGCCGGGCTTACTGGCTGCCGCGCCGCGGGGCGGTGCCACCGGCCCGGCCCGGCCCGGCCCCCTGTCCGCCCTGCCGCGCCGCCTGGCTGCCCGAGGGGGCACGGCCGCGCCCGGATCGCTGTGCCGCGATAGGACAGGCGCGGGCCCGGCGGAGGGGGCGCAACTGGTCCCGGCGGCCGCCAGCACCCCGCCACTAAAGAGAGGCCCCGGCGTAAGAGCGGCGCGGTGCAGGAGAGACTTCAAGGTGTAAACTTTGAGTGATGAACAGGTCGTGGACTGACCCGGAACAGTGTCGGGGGGACTTGTGTGCATGTGGGCAGCGCCTGACCCAGCCAGAGACGCCAGTGTGGGCGCCTGGACGATGCCGGTTTCATTTGAGTTGGCTTCCAATGGGTTTTTTCATGAGATGGCACACTACGAAGTGGAAACATCCAGTGAAGTCAAAATCAAAACACCTCAGTAAGACTGAAGCACAAGAGCCAAAAGTGATGTTTGTTTTCCTCCTCCTGGGAAACCTGCAGTTAATGAGTCAGCTCTTGTTTTCCCATAACTTCAGCAACACACAAGTCTGACACGTATCTGCCTGGAGATCACCTATGATCTCCAGTTCATTTAATTAGCAATCTGTTATCTGAACTGTACAAACATTACTCAGCGCCAGCTTAAAACGTGGACTTGGTTGCATGGTGGTGGTGTTCAGCTCTCTTCCAGCATTAAACACAGCTCAAAGTTCACTTGGAAAAATGGCAGCGATGAGCTGTCTTTAGGATATTGCGTTCCCGAAACAAAGACACCTGGATTAGGAAATGAAAAAGTGAAGTTTCTCTGGCTTGTATTTACTTTGTGGAATGCTGTCAGAGGTTACTGATGCTGATGCTTCTCTCAGTTATTCACCTGACTACTGCCAGGACCAAAGGCAGACAATCAGCTTTGGTGCCTTTATGTTCTTATTTTCCATGCGAGGAGAAAAAAGAATGCTTTGGACAAATTATTCCAAGGACAGCAAATGTCACCTTAAGTGCTTCTTGCTGTGTATCCTCACAGCTCACTGCTTGTCACTCACTTGGGTGTCCTACTCCCAACAGAATGGCCAAGGAGCACAGCTGGAGACAAGGAAAGCCATCACAGCCTTCCCTATGTGCTCTGCTGAAAGCATCACAGGGCAGAGCTGCAAACCTTCCTGTTCTCCCCCTCGGCAGCCCACAGCTTTGCAAGTCAATATCCAGCCTCACTGGAATGTTCGTTAGGATGGTACAACATAACCGTAGTGTAGTCCTTTTGTAGAATGAACAAGAAAGGCAAATTCAGAAGCAAGAGCCAGAAAAGAGGTTTTCAGGCCTATTTATTATTAGCTTAGGCACCCAAAGTTACTCCAAGCACTGTATTGAGACAATAGAAAGAACAGAAGAATTTGTTCTCATGCATTTGTAATTTAAATGTGTCAGAAATGCAATAAGTTATAGCAGTGCAGAAAGTGCAGAGGTGAAACGGAGCAGGAAAAGGACTGTCATGGTCCAACAGTTGCATAGTCTGAGAACTTTGAGCATATAACAATAAAATAGTACAGAAAATTAACTTTTAGGTTCATCAGGTTTGAAAAGGTCTTTATAAATTCTCCACAAGATTATGAGGAAATCAAAATTAAGAGGTAATCACTATAATTGATAAAGAGTATGTGACAAGCAAGGATCAAGAAAAGAAATAAAGAGGCAATTTTTAGCTGGGACTGCTCAGAGTACCATCAGCTATTCATAATCGCAAAAGCAGAGCAAGGAGCAAAATTTGCAGATGGTAAGACATTATTTAAGTTACTCAAGACTAACTGAAATATGTCACCTACATGTTATATTTAGGTCTGTATGACTTTAGTCAGAGTTCTCATGCCAAATAAAATGCTTTACACTCTAAAGATTCATTTACAGACTTTAGGACTTTATCTTCAGCTATCTGTAACTGAAAGTGCTGCCACAGTCCATGGCACCTTTAATTTGCAAACTTGGATAAATGCAGGATAACAAAGTTAGTTACTGTATAGCAGTCTGCTGTAGTCAAAGGTCTCTGGGCAGCAGAGAGGAAGATACCAGTGACTAACAGGGACTGAGTGTGGTTCTCAGGCTTAAGTTACAGAAAAGGAAAGGTGGAAAGAGTATAAATAATAAGGATTTGCGGAGACACTGTCATACATTAAAACACTGAGAACAGTTAAATATCTTTACATGTGACTAAAAAAAAGAGCACACACCTAGAAAAATCTTTTGATATATATAGGAAAATAAGAAACACAAGTTCTTGGCCTCCTGCCAGCCCTGCTCCAAAGTGGAGTCAGAAATGGTCTGTCATCTTGAGTTTTGTTTCAGTTGCATCTTCAGCTCCTAAATTGCTCTCAAAAATCCTCAGTTTTAGCCATTATCAACAAAAGATCCATAGCAAGCCAGAGCCTGCCAAGCAAGAAGCTATTTGCTCACACTAAACCAGTGTCTTAGTCAAATCAGAAAAGCCAAACAGTAAATCAAGAATGACTAAAACACAGACCCTGCTGAAAAGGACAGCTAAAAGCAGACAAATGAAAGTAGCGCCCAGCCTCTGGTGACTGCAGCCAGAACACGAACCAGCCAGGGAAGCAACTTTGACTCCGCCAAAGCTGATCTAGTCAAGTATTTTTCATACCTACAGGCCCACACTTCCCAGAATTCTTGTCCTCAGATCTCAGGGCTGTTTTGTTTTGTTTCTGCCTCTGTGAAGTGTTCAATCACCCCTTTATATCATTTGCCAATTTCTGGACCAAAATAAAATCCCTGTGCTCTGCATTTCTTCCTCTCTCCATTGCCGCATCTGTTTCTACTCAGATGAATGTTTTCCCTCGTGAAGCAACACAGCAGCTGCTTTTGGATTTCCCTCATCAGAGAATCTTTATATAAAAAATTCTTAGGCATGAAAAATTATTTATATTTCAGGACAACCCCTTGAAGTGGATTTAAAAGCTAGAGGGAAACCTCTTTTACATGGAGATTGACACAAGTGCTAAGGTTATAGGATCCTGTGGTCGAAAGTATCTAGGAAGTCTGGAAGGCACTAAACCAGGGGCAGAAGCAGGGTCCAAATTAAAGGTAATGGTACAGGCCATCAGATAGAGAGTAATGTCTCTGGTTTCCCTACTGATCTCAAGAAATACAACTTCTGAATATACTCAGCCTTTATGACAGATTTCCTTTTGTTCTGTAAGGACTGAAGAATATGCCTTGGAACAAGTTTGGTTTTCTCAAAGCCCACCCAGTAAATGTAAATGCTAGGGATGATGCTGGCAATGATAATCCACCTTTTTGATTTCTAGTGGATGGCAACAAGCCTTGATGACAAGCAAGGCAGTAACGAATGGGTGGCAAAAGTCAGTTTGGAAGGTGCACAGAAGGCATATTAGAAAATTTTTGTGAAAAGAATAATTCCTTGATGCATTTTTTCTCCCACACTGGATCGGAGGTTCAAGGAGTGAAGTACTCAAGGACCTACTGGATCTTCCAGCCATGCAGTTCCTTGCAGAGACTTCAGAGCATGCTTAGGCTCCCTTTAAATGGGAAGTATTTAAGCTCAAAGGATCAATCACAGGATGTCCCTTGCTCTCAAACTCACATTATTGTGATTTGTGCCTTTATATCTCATTTCACTCAGAAGACCCAGCAAGTGCAGTTCTTAGGTGGCTCTAGCACATTTTAACTGATAGGATTAAGGTCTAGAAGAGATGACAGAAGATCTCCCAGTCTATCCCACACAGCCTTTCACGACAGATACTGCAGGGAAGATTAGAAGATCTTTGTTGGTGAACGGAGAATGTTTTATAATGGCTTCAGCACACAAAATGCTTTAGTGGAGGATTTCAGAAGTCACCTAGTTTTATCATTAGACCAAATGGCAAGACTCGAATAGCTGGCAGAACCACTCCTGTTCACACCTGGATGCAATACACACCTGGGGACACGGAGCTGAGCGGCTGGCAAGGGCTGCCCTGTTGGACAAAGGCAGCGTTGCTACCTGGAGCAGGAAGGCTGCGAGCCCTCTGCTGGCACCTATAGCTGTCTGTATCCCAGGAGCCATCAGAAAGCAAGATCCAGCGTACAGCTTGTTTATGCAGTGAATTAGATTATGAGAGTAGGTTAGATACACAATGGATATCCTAAACCCTTATGAATCTTTCCTGTTACATTTCCTGTGTGAAAATTTGTACAGTGATGGACAACTACCTTTATAAAAGTGCAGCATACAGCCTCTGCAGCATTCCAAATCTTGCAAAATTTACCTTCCTCTCCAGAAAACATGATGGCTTAGTTTCCCAATTTAAAATCCCATCTAAAGAAGCCTGCAGACCTCCAAATCACCAAAACTGTGCAGGGAATAACTTTGAGCACCAAACCTATCATCTTCAAAGTATAAGGCCTTTTTTCAAAAGCATAAATCAAGGAAGGGAAAGAACACTCCTTCAGCATATCTCATATGTAGCTCTCGGAGAACTTCACTGGGGATGCATCACCTACATCTATTTTACAGGGGAAACAAGGGCTCAAAGAGTTAAGGAGATTTGCCTGTGCCCCTGCCAGGGGCAGAACTGTTGCTCCTGACTGCCAACACTGGCTGCCAATAGCATCTGCCACCTCTTTACAGATCTAATCTTCCTGTTCAAAGCCTGGCTTTAACACAGCAGTGACTTTAATTTAACCCTGTCCAGTTCAGGTGCAATATTTCTATGAATGAATTATATAGGTCTGAACTGCAAAGAGTACATGGGAGGGCACAGCTGAAATGCTAATATTCGCAGCTGCCTTCTTCCAGCACGAAAAGGATGTAAAAAGGAGTGTGTAGCATGGAAGACC